AATCTCAATGTATGGAATTTCATAAGTTGACCTCTATGACCCTTGACCTTTGACCTACGTGCTCCAAAATGTAATCAGATTGTTTTCCTATAGTGATACACACTATCACTAAGTTTGAAGTTTAAATCTCCAGTGGTTCTTGAGATATCATGATAACAATCTCAATGTATGGAATTTCATAAGTTGACCTCTGTGACCCTTGACCTTTGACATACGTGCTCCAAAATCTAATCAGATCGTCTTCCTATGGTGATACATACTATCCTTAAGTTTGAAGTTTAAATCTCAAATGGTTCTTGAGATATCGCGCTAACAAACTCAATACAAGGAATTTCATAAGTTGACCTCTGTGACCTTGACCTTTGACCTACGTACTCCAAAATCTAATCAGATCGTCTTCCTATGGTGATAAATACTATTCCCGAGTCTTAAGTTTAAATCTTAAATGGTTCTTGAGATATTGTGATAACGGTCAAACGGGACGGACGTACGGACGGACGGACGGACGGACGTACGGACGGACGGACGTACGGACGGACGGACGTACGGACGGACAACCCGAAAACATGATGCCTCCGGCACCACCTTCGGTGGCGGAGGCATAAAAAAAGTTTCAAGCAAATGTGTAATTGTTTAGTCTATTTTTAGAGAACTTTCTAACTCTGTTTTCATTCTTATTTCATTATTATTTTTATCTATCTATACTTTCAAATGGATGTGAGCAAAATGTCCATATACAATTTTAAATCGATGTCAAAAATTTACTGAGTTTGGACTGATCTATGTTTGTCAAGGGTCATGTCAATAAAGTCACTCAAAAGGTATCTAAATGTATTGGTATATTATACAGATTAAAAGACTCGCTTCCACCTTCAGCATTATTACTACTTTATAATTCGTCGCTGTTTTCACGAAGTGACGGTAGTGAAAAAAAATTGCATTCACTTTGCATTACGATTTTCCTCACTACCGTCACTTCGTGAAATAAGGACGAATTCATTCATGCCTTCATATTTAAATTATTGTGTTGCTGTTTAGGGTAATTGTAGTCGAACTAAATTAGATAAATTATTTAAATTGCAAAAAAAAGGATTCTTTTCACTTATGGCCAGTAAAAACAAATAAGGTAATTAAATCAGTACGTCATAATTTCCCTGTAATTTGGAACTCCATCCCCAAATATATTTCTGATTGCAAGTCAATTAATTCCTTCAAAAAAAAGTTGAAGCAGTTTCTTTATCTGAAATATGTATAGTTACTTATCTTATGTTTATATTTGTGTTATATGTTTTTTGTTTTTGTTTCTTTTTATTTAATGTTCTTTTTTTCTTTTCTTTTTTAAATCTTTGCTTTACATTCTGCTATGAATGCTTTGGGAACTATGCTTGTACAATGCCTAAGGGCTTTATTTATGTAGTTCCCCATTTCATTTCTAAATTTGTTCATGAATAATTTTTTATATTTTGTATCATGGTAATTTTTAATCGAGAATGAAATAAATGCGAATTCAATTCAATTCAAAATGGTAAATCTAGACTAAAGCTAAACACTTTATTCCAAGCTTTAAGTACACAAGTCTTCTAGAAAAGGTAAGAATATGTCATCAAAATATCACACTTTACAATTTAATTTAATAATTTTAAATATTCATAGGAAATATTGCCTTATCCTGAACTATTCAACAAGTGCTCAGTTGATAATTGAAATTGAATTTAATTAAATGATTGAATGGTTTATTAAAAATACTGAAAATAGCAGCCTGAGAGCCAAATTACATTTAGTTTACACTAAAAGCATTTGAAATACATAGCCATATCAAAACAATTATTACATGAAGCTTACAAGAATAAATTAAAAGATAAAATTAGTAAGATATAATATTATTCTAAGATATAATAATATATCCAAATCTAAGTATAATCAACACTATTCTAAAATTTGATACATAGAGCTGCGATATTGTATCTTTTACTGGAACCTAATAATGAGAGAAATCACGAGGAAAGAATAAAAACCAGTATAATCTTTTGAAATGAGATTAATTTAAATTAAACATAAAGACCTTAAAAACCATCTCAATATTTGTAACTACAATCATCTCTGTTATATGAAAATCTGTTTTTAAAACATTGTGACGAGACATGGTGACATAATGCCTGTTCTCCTATTTATGAAAGAGCAACAGAAAATCATTTTTAAAACAGAATAACAGAGAGGTACAGAGAGTCAATGGATGATTAAGTTGTGAGGTCACTGCATTGCATCCCGGCAGTACTGCATTGCATTCCGGCAGTGCCTCATTAAGAGGCTATTGGGGCCGAGAAGGTTAATCAAAAAGCAGTTTGAAATCAAACATGGGCGGCACGCTCGTGATACCTGAGCCCGTGCTCGCGCAAGCACACTTTTGGGAACGCTCAAGTCGCGACACGGGTCATGATCGGGCGAAAAAGACCACAAATTAGGGGAGCAAGATGAAGCGTTGAGCGAGAAGGGCTCCCTCGAGACTTGTTTGATAACTGACTAGCTTTCACCCTGAGTTATGTGGCCAGCTTGGAGAGGAAGGATGTGTTTCAGAGAGAGAGAGAGAGAGCAAGCAAGAAAGCAAGAGAGCAAGAGAGAAAGAGGAAATGAGAGAGAGAAAGCTAGAGAGACAGAGACAGGGAGAGAAAATTGACAGAGAGGGGTATAAAGAGAGTAATACAGAGAAAGACATGGAGTGAGAAATACAGAAAGGAGAGTAAGAGAAATGTAAAAGAGAAAGAGAGAAATTAAAAAGGTGAATGGAATTAGAGAAAGAGGGATAAGCGCAGAGAGAGACATAAAGGGAGTGTTTAGAAGAGAGAGAGAGAGAGAGAGAGCGGGGGGGGGGGGGGGGAGGAGAGAAAACGAGATGAGGATGGAAGAGCAGGTTGGGGATGATATAAAGATGAAACGAAGAGACAGATAGATAAGAGAAAGAAAGGAACAGAATATGAAATGACAGGAAGGGTAAAATAACCCCCAAATGGAAAGGGTGCTATTTGCAGAGGAGAAAGAGTAGTTAAAAGCACAGAAAAGTGGTTCATATTTACTGGGGAACCCCCTTTATGTGAACAAAAGATAGCAGGGGCATTCCTGTTTGGGGCACTAAGGGCGTTAACTCATATACTGTAATACAGGGTTAACGCTTGGCTCTGAACAGATATTATATTATTGCCCTGGGAAAGTCTGTTCTTCAAACACCCTCCAACTGAGCACATAACAAATTACATCTCTTCTTGTTCTTTCTAAACTAACAGCAATCTAACAAAATACATATATATTTAAATTTTTTTAAAATAGAAAGATACTGGCAATATCAAAATACCATCTGAAATTACAAGTGTTTCATGTTTTTTTCAAAAACTTAAATGACATTAATGTTATCATCTCTGTTTCCACAATTCCCGTAAATTTTCCCTGTTGAGTTATGGTCATATCCTTGATATCACATTGCAAACAATGATCCATGAATCCACGAATGTTAGTTGTCCTTTATCTTTGGCATGAATTATGAGCACTTTTCCTCATCAAATTATGATTTTGTGAGGGCTGGTCCAAGGTATTTGGTTACAGTTGTTAATGACTATAATTCAACTGTTCATTTTTTTAGTTAAATGTCAGAATGTGTTAATTGACCTTTGAAGAATTATGCATGAGTGCATTTTACAAACATTTTGTAGAATATGCAAAAGTTTGTCATGAATGATCGTTCAATGAATTAATGAGCGGCATGTAAATGTATTTTTATGGACAATTGGTTGAATTTGCATGATTTCGTCATGACTTGTGTGTCCGATGAACAAATAAACACCCCCAAATTGCTGATGTGAGATTCTTGTAGGATACTTTATTGGAGAGAATGGGCAATTCGCCATTGAAAATGAATGGCACACACACACACACACACACACAAAATAAACAAGCACAATCACATTTTTGGAAAATAGGTTTCTAATTTTTTTTGTGAAAAATCGTACTGTCATATTTACTTCTAAAAATCGTACGAAATACGATAAAAGCGTACTGGTTGGCAGCTCTGCAATCAGACCACAGTAACATGGGAAAGCAAGTCAAAGCTATTTTGTCCCATGCATTACCCACCAGTCTGATCACTGCATTCACACATTGGTTCCTCTCTTTGCTCTGCCTGCATGGTGGCCCATTAGCCACACCTGCACTTTGCTCAGAACAATAGGCACCAGTTGGTGCAAGGATTGCTTAGTGCACCACGATCGCTTTGTGATATTACCCATTTTCGGTCTTGACTGGTATAGATTAATTTTGCACTGGAATCAGATAAATAATCTTAAAGCCTTTGGAATATAAAGAGTTGAGTTCATAGCCCTACTAGAGCTCACATTGAAATACTTTGAGGAGACTAATGAGAAGAACAGATCAGTGAAGGTTGAGAACAATCGGACAATAAATGAGAAAGTTATGGATTTAAACTTTTCATGAAATACTTCAAATCTGTGAGTCAAATTGGCGACGCTGTCTCTAAATATGATGTCACCCCCTCACATTTTATCTTTTGTTGAATGCAAAAAATGTCATAAAATTCCATTTTTCTCAATATTATCTTGATCATGTATCACAGATGACACGATCTTTCATGCACCGCCATACAAGATAGGTCTACGATTCAATTAACATTCAGAGAAATGGAGATTTAGGGTCATTCTGGCATTCAGATCAGTGGTGAATTGTGAGGGAATGACATCACAATTTCTAATGGCATTGCCAATTTGTTTCAAAAATTCCTTAATGTTCATGATTTGAAAGATTTATAACATCTTATTTGTTGTCCGATTTTTCTCAAACTTTCACTCAATTGTTTCTCAAATTTGTCTGCTTCTATTAAAACAATGGAATATCCGGGTGGACTACGGGACACCAAATGACCAAATCCCTTGGACTTGCCTACATATTTTCTATTGCAGCAGCGATTCTAAATCCAAGTCATCAAAAAGTTCACTGACCTTTTCATCACTGTCTGTGAAGGCTTCATGTTGGTCCTTACTACCAATCTTATTGATGACTTGAGCCACGCCCAGCACCTCTCCACCGGGTTCCTTGATGGGCATGGACAGCATACTCCGGGTCTTGTACCCCGTCCGAAGATCAATCTCACAGTTGAACCTAGGATCCTACGAAAGAAATGGAAAGAAAGGAATAAAGAAAAGGTTGTAAGAACTGCAAACATTAGGAATGTCTGGGTATACTTGAAATTCATTAATTTTTATCAGGCTCGGCCTTGAGATGGCAAAACAACATATGTCATTTTTTGGGAAAATTGACTTTTCAACATATTTGGCATTTTACAAGTATAATCTAACTCCCAATGAAATATTAAACCTCAAATGCATCCTGTCACTAAAATATGGCAACCCTTCCTCAGAATAAATGTTTTAATTTTGTCAGCAAAACAACATAAGCGTCGATACGCGGGCCCCTTATCAACATGCCCAACCATGGTATTCTGTGCTATCTATAAATGTAAAGTGACTTGGATTGTGCAAGAAGACCTTTGGGTTATACTGATTTAGTTAATCTTTTTCTTTTTCCCGGCATGCATGTGATTCACTACAAACCTTACTGTTGTTTTTTTTTTTTTTTTACTGTACCTGGATTTTGTCTTTGCTAAATAAAATGATAATAACAACAAGAACAATAATAATAATAATAATAATAATAATAATAAATTCTATAAAAGATGAAGGGATAGAAGTTGTTTAAATGTAAATAAATAGAATTACCCGCTCTTTCTTATTTTCTCTCTCTCTTCCACTTACTTACACCCCTCCCCATCTCTCCCCCTCTCTCTCTCTCTCTCTCTCCATCTATTTCCTATCTTCTATCACTCACCCTTCCTTTACACTATCTCTCTTTTATTTCCTACATTATATTTGTTATATGTCATATAAGACAGTATAGAATTTTTCAATCCTACTCTTAGATAAAACTAAAAGATTTTGCCTACTTCAGCTCAAGTTTTTTTGTTTTGTTAATGTCATGTTTAGATTGTGTAAAATCATGTTTGTCAGATTGTGCAAAAGAAGAAAAAAAAATCAAACAGAAATAAACATATCCAGTCAAAATAAAATCCAACAGCATCAAATCTAGGAACAAAAGAACTTATCACAGAAAAATTATTATGATGAAAGTGAGAAGAAGAAAAAAGAGGAGGGGGGGGGTAATGTTATAGAAATAGAACACTGAAAATGAATGAATAAACATTAAAAGCAGTGGGTACAATAAGAAGCTTCTGTCTTTGGCATCAGCACTCAGAAATATTGATAAAGAACAAGGAAAGGGTGGGGTAACAATGAACTACCGTTGTTGGACTATACACCCAGTCTGAAATAAGTATACAGATGGCGTGTAATTTTGTTCTTGCGACCTTCACTCTTCATTTAATATTCTTGCTGGGTAATCTCAAGCTCTATCTGCTACTACAGGTCTCTCTCTCAGGCAACTACACTGTGCATGCTTGCTTGCTGAGGCTACCTTCATCTTCATCCTCTCTATAACTAATGCAGCTTGGCGCAGCTAATCTGCTCTCAAATACACTCATTATTCAGTGAAATTCTTAAATATTGCATTAACTAAAATATGTCTCTGTCATTTGGTGCAGGAGTGAATTTCTTGCTCTGATATACGAGCATATACTCTTTCGCAATATACTTTTTTCTCTCATTCTTATTATCTCTTTCTTATTCTCTCTCTCTCTCTCTCTCTCTCTCTCTCTCTCTCGCTCTCTCTCTAGCACTGTCTCTTTCTCTCCCTTTCCTACTGCCTCTGTATAATTTTAATCTCTTTTATTTCCATGGTCTTTCTACCTCTTCAGCCTTCCATGTCTGTCTTTTTTATCTCTGTATTTCTCTCTCTCTCCTCTTTCTCTTTGTGTCTGGATTTCTCTTGCTTTCTCTGTTTGTCTAAGTAGCCTCACAACATCATGAATACATAATCTAAATGGCGCCAGAATGGCATTACCTCTGTGTTAAAGCATGTGAGATAATGACCATCTGGCTCTAACAGACGCTATCATTATGTCTGTGTGCCGTGAGAAGGTTGCTGATTCCATGTAATGATAATCGAGCTAAGGCCCTTTTCACTCTCAGCATTATCTTTTTTTTGTTCTGAAATCTTCATAAGATATGAAGTTAGTTTTCAGTTAGATGATTCATTCGAGGTAATAATGTTAAGCGCTTAGAAACTTGGAATTCTCGACGTATTAAGTGCTATATAAGCAAAAATATTATTATCTTCTCCTTCCTCTATTTTAATGATTCATCCGATACTCTATCCCTCTATCAATCTCTTCCTTCACTCTCTCTCTCTCTACATCTCTCCATCATATTCTCTTTCTCTCTCTATCTCTTCATCATTCTCTCTCTTCACTGCTGTTTACATATCTGCATAGTTCTTCCTCTCTTTCTTTCTACATATCTCTCTTTCTCTTCTCCTTCATCTATAAATATGATTCATCCAATTCTCCCCCCCCCCCCTCTCTGTCTGTCTCTCTCTCTCTCTGTCTGTCTGTCTGTCTCTCTCTCTTTCTCTCTCTCTCGCTACATATTTTCTCTACATCTCTTTCTCTCTCTCTCTGGATCTATCATTTTTTTTTCCTATGTTAGTGTCAGGGACCTCATTAAACCATTACTGAAACATGACCTATTGGAAATCTGAAGGAGGCTAATCCAATGTTATATTAGTTAACACCCGTACAGCTCTTAAAATTGATTTTCTTAATATGTGAAGTTTTTTTTTTTTTTAAATTAAATGATTCATTAATTCAGTTATCTGAATTTGCGGGTCTGATAAATCTGAGCCCTCCCCCCCCCCCCTCTTCCTTCTCCTTTTCCCCCACTCCTCTCAATCCTGCTCTCTCTCTCTCTCTCTCTCTTTCCCTCCCTCGATATATCTCCCTCTTTTCCTCATTCTCTTTTCTCCCACTTTCTCTTTATCACTTGATACATGCCTGCAAATTTTGGCGGCATGGAACAGTTTAACATCATCCATCCAACACTGAGAATGTATAATGCATTTATATCACAAAGAACAGAAAAAGATACTTCGATGGTCCATAAAATTCCAACCACCTGTAATATATCATAAATATATATATTTCTATGTCAGGTGAAAATAGTTTTTTTATTGCTGAATACATAAAGAATTTGTGACTTTGATTAATTGTATGACAAAAATCAGTGACCATAATAGATCTCTGTATCAATTATTATGTATCGCCACACCATTTCAATGCCAATATATATTTATGGAAACAGTCATAAACTGTATGAATACTGGTAATCTTTTGAGCAACAAAGAGGACGACTTCACTAATTCATTGATGTGTGTATTTATTAGGCTCTTATATCAGGGATATTAACAACAAGGAGATTAGACACCTTCAATAGAGTGAGGCGGCACTTTTAATCATCCACAAATATACGCCATCAGCCAACGTTCTAAATCATCTGTTGGGAAATATAAGGCATTACCCATGTGCCCTTTCTGCCTCCATGAAGTATGTATGTACAGTGAAACCTGTATATTAAGACCGCCCAAGGGAAACATGAAAAGTGGTCTTTACATGCAGGTGGTCTGAGTGTACAGGTTCCTTGAGTACCTGTATAATGTTTTTAATTGATTAATCACATGGACATATACCCAATACCTATTGATGCAACCATCTAAAGATATCCAGAAAATATTTCTATGAAATTAACAATAAATCATTCCCCAGCACATGCCTGCCATTCATCCGCATATTCTACACAACGTTAAGAGTGAAATATTGGCTTTTCTACGAGTTCTAACCTTCACATTGATAATGAGTTTGAATGGGACGGTGAGAGGGGTCACGCAAAGGGCGACATGACGCCTAGGTGCGGAACACTCATGGCCAGCCGTACAAGTAACGATGGACAATATCGAATGGACGCTCATATATGTAACCTGAAATTATGAACGGAAGAGTGCGCAGGGATAGAGATAGCAGTGAGCGGAGATATCATTTTTCAGTGGCCTGAGTGAATCAGCTTCGCCTCCTCAAATTGGCAACTATTGTGAACTTCTTAAAGTTCTTCACATGCATATAAAATTACACTGTTCAGAGCATTAATGCAGCTAAAATCTGGCTCAACTGTACAAGGAAAAGTAATTGCGCTTTGAACTATATTTGTTGCCAATTTGCAATTTTTTTCCAGAGAGATGGAAGGGCTTCAACACATTGTCAGTCTGGCGCTCAATAGATGAGCGTTGTTTTCTCAACAGTAGTTCAGGGAATAAAGTTTCATTACAAGAAATCTGGATGTTCCCCAGAAACTAATCCTGTTAGTTGACAAGACCTCTATGCCAACCACGACTGTACATCTGAAATCTGTTTCCCTTCTGAGAAATAAATGATAACTGACGTCCGCAATATGACTCACTGCAGTCTAGATATACCGATGCCAGTGAGACCCATCAGCTGGTCACAATAATATTGGTTATATTGGGAGAATCTGGAAAGAGGAAAGGGGCACATTCTCAGTAGGGGTGCGGAAATTAAGAATTAGAGAATACTTTGGAGAGGGGGCTGACGTATCCCACCTAGGAAGGGGAAGCAGAGGCCAAGCTCTTGCTTTATTCAATCATCTCAAAAAATAGCTTCTATAAAAACTTAATTTAAAACAAATTTAAATCTCCAACAAAGATAGATAACCAAATGTTTAATATGAGAGCGCTGACATCTCTGAACAAATTGAAGCACAAAGTAGCTAATGTTTTGCTTACATGGATAATTTTTTACCCAACCTCACTCATTTACAACAAATTGAACAGAAATCTTCTAAGTTTTGGATTTAGTTGCATGAAAATTGGTTAGACTTAAAATCGTCCTCATGGTGGGCATACTTTATTGAATATAATAATTGTACAGTGCAAACATAACTCCAGGTTCAAATAATGAGTAAATCCTTATGTTTCGACAGTTAAGAAACATTGTCCAAGAATGTGAAGGTTCTATTTAGATTGATGTACATTTCAAAGACCAGTTATTTTGCATAACTATGTAGGATTCATGTGTACATGTCTAAATGAAAGTAATGAAATCATACTTCTAACAGAATAGGATTAAATGAAGCCTTTGGGTGACAGGCAATTCATTACGTCAAGGTTTTGGAAGGCTTCTTTATAGATGAAGTTCTACTTATCTTAATTGTTTTGTTTTGTTCAGAGGTGCTGAACAATGCTGGTAAGTGTAAAGGTTGAAAGAGCAGAAAATCTCTGATTATTTTGATACACCTAGGAAGATTATTTTGTTACACCTAGGAAGATTAAGCGAAACCCTATAAAAGCAAGCTGTTGGATGAGGAAACTTTAAAGAAAGAACATGTGAAATATTAAATACATGACTAATAAAATGTTTTATATACCTGCCATTCATGGTTTTTAAAATATATGTGCAGTTAACAACTATTATTCATACCCTTACTAAGTTTTGCATTTTTGTTTATGTAAAAATTGATTTGTCCTGTTTATGTTTCTTGAGAATGTGACACATTAAAGCTTACATCTAAAAGTGTTTAACACAGGTCAAAATTTAACCATTCCACCTTTCATTCTTGAGTTATGAAGAAAAAAAAAATCAAATTTACATGGGGTATGAATAATCTAGTTGTTAACTGTAAATGAAATACGCTTACATACATTTTCTAAAAAACAAAAGCCTTATCCATTACCCTTTGACCTATGACCTAATCTGAACATGATTCACATAGAAGAGGGTATTGAAACAGTCCTTGAGTTGATTTCTAGAAAGTCTTTGTGATCCTGTGATATACGCTTATGATTAGGATACGCGACACCAAGCACTAAGAAGCATAGAGGTATAGAAGGGGGGAACCACTACCATCAACACCAATGGGCTGTCAACAAATTTGGGGGTGAAGACAGCTGGGGTGAGGGGGAGGGAGAAACCTGGAGGACAACTTCTCCTTAATGTCAATATGAATGCATGCGCCATCAACAGTCTGGCACATCTGTTACCCAAATATGGGGGAGAGTCAAACACTATGTACACAAGCTTCTTCTTTTTCTTTTTTTCTTTCTTTTCTTTGTTGTTATCTTGCCTATAATTGAAAGTCTTGCTCATATACTCTTCATCGGGCATAGAAGGGAGATGAGCCAGCATATTAATGAAATAATGATAGACGTATTATATATTCATATCCTTATGAACACCCCCTCCCTCTTCTTCTCCTCTCTCTCTTTCTTTCTTTCTTTCTTTCTTTCTTTCTTTTTCTCTTGCTCTTTCTCTCTCTCTTTCTCTCTCTCGTTCTTTCTCTCTCTCTCTCTCTCTCTCTCCATCTAACCAAAGTTTCACTATAAATTATAAAATAGATTATTCACATATATCTCGCTCCTGACTCCTGCCTGCACTTTTCTTCTCCATCTCAAGTTGGAGATTGGGATGAAAGAACTAAAGATGCACTTTTCATTGCCCCCTCCCCCCTCCCCCTACCCCT